CCCTCTCTCCCTCTCCCTCAGGAGTTCACCCTCATTAGTTGTGTGAATCTCTCTATCTCAAAAGTTTTGCCCTATCACCCCATACAGGACCAGCGACACTGTGCCATAAGGAAACCAGTTACAGCAGATCAGCGCAGTTATTTTAGTTATTTTAGACATCAGTCATGGAGGGTTTTTACGGTTGACTACACAGATGTTACACGCACCTACTGTATATAGATCAACCCAGAGCCTGGTTCTAAGTATTAAAATGTTGCGGTTAAAAGTAGACCAACTGTGTTGGTCTACTTTTTAAACTCCAGAAGACACCGGGCCCTACAGGAACTGCGTTTGTCACGCGTGTCGTGAGCAAACACCTCCCTTTGCTCGCACCTGGTTTCTTACAGTACCTCGAACTGAACGAGACGAGAGACGTCACTCGCGAAAAAAACATTTAACCTAACCTGTCTAATCTAACCTGTCATAAAGATTTTAGCTGAGGTAGCGCATCACTGGGCGAATCTGACGGGTCCGTTCGTGATTAATGTTGGACTAAAAAGTAGTCGTGGCGTCTTTGCTTATTTTTTCTCATTCCTCACTAATTGTGGAACGAATTTTGTGTTCCTCTGTCGGTCCCGCATCTTGGAAGAGGTGACAGGCGCAAAGATTTTCTTCCCGGGAGTAAAGAGAAAATCACTTTCTGGAAAAAAACACCTTTCAGAGGTAAGGGCAAGACGTAGATGTTGTAGTTCTGGAAAAAAAATTTCTGGACAAAATATTGACACATTCGTGCAACTGGGTCGTTTTTCAAAACCATTAGCAAATCATTTATATTGATAATTAACCAGTCTGTCATTTTTTTTGTGTGCGTGAACGCAATAACAGATATTTTTTTATACAAATCAATTAAGTGATGCTTTAGGATTTTAAACGTCTAAGGTCGTCTGCATTCCAGCATGTAGAGAGTCAATTTCAGACCTGTGAAATAACGACGCTGGTTTCCTGACTTTTCCAAGAGACTTCTAAAGACCCGTGTTGAATTAATGTGTAAACTTGTGGTGATAGCGACAAATGAATAAAAGGCAAAACAAAAGTCTCATTTGAGAATTTAATTATTCTTCAATGATTGAAGCCTGGCCAGGATTCAGTTGATTAATGTGTTTAATTAGGTAATTGGTGTTGTTTGCAACACTTGTGGGAGCCTAGGGGAGGATTTTACGCTTTTAAAGGAAGAGGCAGAAAACATTCTTGGCCTCTATGCTGAGAGGCTTTGCAACAGCACCTGAAGCGCGTACCTGGACTTATTTTGCCAGGCTCTGGGTAGGTAGGGAGGTGTTCAGGGTGTGGGGTGTCAGACCCCAGCTGGATGTCCCACTCTCTGACACATGCCCTGCAACTTATGGGACAGTTATAAGTTTTCTGAGAACTCAGCCAGTTGGCCACATTCCCTTCCGAGGTGTCAGCAACCAAAAACTGGAAGAGCTCGTTGCGCCTCAGAAAAATAGGCAGATCCCTGTGCGCATTTTAACATCAGCCCCAACAGGGAAGGTGTGGAAACGCACATCCTCTACGTTTCTCTGCAACGTGCACAGAGACCTCGCCTGGAGTGTCGTCCACCAGTGCTGACCGGTCCGAACCTTCTTGTACCCCAGGGGTCTCACCCTCAGCCCTCGCTGTGTTAGGGCGGGCTGCGGTGAGTCCCGGTGGTCCTGCCAGTTTGCTAAGGCTCTCTGGGCCCAGTTTGAAGACTGGTTGCAAGCCCTTTCACCCTCTTCTCCCTGACCGCTTCAGTATATACGGCATCTCTCCTGTCAAACACGGCGGGAGGAAGTTTGACAGGATTGTGGCCGTGGTGAACAGGGGGAAGGATGCCCTGTGGGGAGAAGGCAAGGAGGAAGCAGAAAGTAAGGTTGCTTTATTAGCCCTATACAATTTCTTGCATTAGGAATTTGTCTTTGCACATACCCCAGCTTGATCTCCATGAGACACAGACAGGGAGAGAGAAGCTTGGGGTCAGAGCACAGGGTCAGCCATGATACAGCGCCCCTGGAGCAGCTGGGGTTAAGGGCCTTGCTCAGGGGCCCAGTGGAGTAGGATTCTTCTGCCAGCTGTGGGACTGGAACCAGCAACCTTCCAGTCATAGGCACAGATGCTTAGCCACAGAGCCACCACTCTGCCCCCATTTCCAAATATGTGGAAAATAGAGGGTATAGGACTGTACCTCAAGAAGCTGTGATATAGATGATCATTTAAAGGGAAACACTGGGAGTTGTCCTGTTGAGGCAGTGATGCAAAGTCACATAATCATAAATTATGATGTAACTGTTGCCTTGTCTAAACTTAACGAGGTGTGTTCATATATACTGTTTTAAGCATAGATATATCAACGTACAATTTTCTATTTGGTGATGATCTGTATTTGCGAAAGAAAATAAAGTTGTTTAAAAACCGAATCGGTTCACCCAGGGTGAGGCTCGGCCGTTGCACTCCAGCTGTGCTGACCCCTGCCCTGCGGATTTCCCCCCGCGTGGGAATCTGCGTGGGGCTGCATTGGCGCTCTCCCGTGGCGAGCTGGTCCAAGACAGATTGAATCTTATACTGCAGGGCTTTACGGCAGCTGGGCTCGTGCCAGCATTTGCGGTTGTACCTCTGCACAGTGACCGCGAGATGGCGCCGGAGAGCCACCGCGCTACAGGCTGATGCGGTACTGCAAGGGGGGGCAGACCGGCGCACACAGGAAGTGTCTAGTCGGCTCCGCTGGCGCGGTGTGCTGCTACAGACGGGCCTGTATTTGCTGTCGGGTGGCTGCAGTGCCTCAGATGCACCAGGACGTGCATAGCGCGTAGAAAATGACGAGGAACAGGTAAGAGTTTGTTCCACGCTGAAGATGGAAAAGAAACACAAAATGTCGGCTGTGGAGCCCGAAGAAGGCACCTGCAGAAGCTCCGCGGGTGCCCCCTTGCTTCTTTTCTTCTCTCTACACCGTGGAATGGGCTTTGCCCTGTCCCTCTGCAGCTGCTCTGCACTACAGGGCGGTGCCGGCGGCTTCCTTACCCACCTCTGCAGCTGGCCGGGCAGATAACTGCATTAGCGATGCATTTTAGAAGCATCAAAACATCTGCGCGATAAAACGAACTGTATCTTTTAAAGCCTGTGGTATGAAAGCTGGTGCCCTTTTAAACCTGAACGTGATGTGTTCCTAAATACTGTTTTAGGTGTGTATATATAAATAATGTAAAGTTTTATATTTTATGACTCTGTTGTTTTTCTTTGTGAAAAGAAAATAAGCCCTTAAAAAATTTGGGAGAAAAGAAAAAAATTACTCCGGGTAAACAAGCGGCTCGATCAGCTGGAGAAATTTTAAAACAGTCCATTAAAAAAGTGCAGTCCAGCGAGAGGAATGCCACAGAAATGATATAGACCAGAGGTTTGAGAGTATTCAAGTGTCCGTACAAACTAGTAGCGCCATTAAAAAAGAGGGTGATGGAATGTTTGAAGGCAGCAAAATGGGAAAGCGAATGGAAACGGTCAAGCAGGGCTGCACGTACCCCTTGTCATGGTACCGTCGAACCTGGGTCTATTTTCAAGCCTGGTGAAGTTCAAGTTCAAGTTTATTCGTCAGTCCAACCATATACAAGTACACAGAGGAGCGAGATGTAATTCTCCAGGTCTACGGTGCGAATACAGACAAGACACTGCTATAGGCAGTGTAGACATAGACATTTCTGACAGGGTACAGGGTACATAAAGTGCAGTGTGCATAGTGCAATTTACTTTACAGGATTGTGCAAAGAATACATCAGACAGTTTACCTGACATCAGAACCAAGTTTTCCAATTTGGAGTAGGTGCAGTAGGTACCGGGGTGTTGAGGAGCCTGACAGCCTGTGGGGGAAAAACTGTTACGGAGTCTGGTGGAGCTGGCCCGTACACTGCGATACGTTTCACCACATGGTAGGAGGGCAAAGAGGTTTCAGGAGGGGTGGGAGGGATCGCCCACAATACTGGAGGCTTTGTGTGTGCAGTGTTTGTTTGTAGATGTCCTGAATGCACGGAAGGGAGGTGCCAGCGATGTTTCCTTCCGTATTTATAATTCATTGCAGGGGCTTGCGGTCTGAGGGCTTACAGTTCACAAACCAACAGATGCAGTTTGTTGGTATGTTCGCAATGGTATCTCCAGAGAATGTGGTTAGTATGGAGGGGAGGGGGAGGGGGGTTTGCCCTTCTCAGTCGCTGCAGAAAGTAGAGCTGTTGTTGCGCTCGTCTAGCTAGGGAGGTGGTGCAAGTCAAGATTCCCGATTTCTTTATTTGCCACATACAACAAGTGCATTGGAATGCTTACTCGTTCAGCTGTGCCCAGTTACATCAGGGAAAGGAAAAATAAAGAAAAGTCAGGTCATCTGTGATACGGACACCAAGAAGCGTTGTACTGCTGGCTGTCTCCACAGGGGAGCCGCTGCTGTGCAGTGGGGAGTGATCAGAGTGGGCCCTCCTGAAGTCAGTTATCGTCTCCTTTGTCTTATCGACATTCAGAGCCAAATCGTTGTTGATCCAGCAGTCCGCTAGTTGCTGCACTAGTAAAAGAGGCCGTGTCTATCTGGTGGTGACGGTAGATTACTATACACAATGGGGGGAAAGGCGTGCTCCTCGAAATAGCAAAACTAATCAAATAGCACTTCCACTATCAGAGGAAGCCTTCAGTCCTTGGGGAACATCGAAATATCTCGTTTCAGATGGAGGTCCTCAATTTACTAGTCAAATCCTCTCAGACGTGTGTAACCACTGGGGGGGGTTATACAAAACCTGACCACTAGTTACCATCCAGGAACTAACCTGAGAGGAGAAATGGTGCCATTAAAACTGAGAGTTGGGCCAGTCTCGTGGTCAATTTAGCATTTTTCAATTGACGATCGTGTTTATTTTATCATCATATTTTTGGAAGTTAATATTTTGTGCACAGTTCAAGTTCCTCTGTGCGCTGATTGTATAACCCGATTGCCCAGCCTTTTTTGAAGTAAGTTCTGCTCTTCAATGATTCAAGACTGGCCAGGATGAAGTTGATTTGTTTAATGAGGCAATTGGTTCTGTCGTTTGTAACATTTGTACAACACAGGGGAGGAGCTTAGGGAAGTCTCTTTTCAGGGGGCGAAACAGAGAGCAAGGAAGTCAACAGAAGGGTAGTCAGTTAGACAGGAAAACTGCCTGAGCCACAGCCACTGCTACACCTGCCCAAGGGCCAAAAAACAATATTCCAGTTCGTGTCATAGCAGGAAAACCCTTGCGAAGATAAAGTTTTGCCGTGGTTATATGGAATAAAAGAAGTAAGGACTTTTCACAAAGGAAGAGGGGATCTTTGATGCTTCTAGATGGATTAAGGTACTGCCATTAAGGACCCAGGATTTACAACCTCTTCCAGGACAGTAAAAGTATAATCGTGTTTAGTTGCTGCGAAGTACAAACTGTTTTAATTATTTTAGACAGACTCCTACTGCCTACATTTTTTTCGCGGTTGTTTTAAATACTGAATAATACTGTTTCTTTGTCATCTGTTTCGCCTTCCGAATTCCGAATGTTGATTAAATAAATGTATAAACTTAAGAGATACTTTTCAGAAACCTGCTTCCCTCGAAATCCTTATTAGCTGTAAGCCGATTCAGGCGCTGACAACGTTCCCTCTGATTTCTTATGGCCTGTATGCGAGAGCACAGGTATTGATGATCGAGTAGCAGTAATAATGCACACAGCCAAGCAGAGCCTCTCGCAGACACTCTCATTGGGTCAATTTAGCATTTTTCAGTTGACGACCGTATTTTGTTTCTTTTATTATCATATTTTTGGAATATTTTTTTTTGCGCAGTTCAGGTTCCTATGTGCGCTTATTTTCTAACCTGATTGCCCGCACATATTAGAGGGAACAATGATGCACATAAGAGAGTTCATAACAGTATATAGGCTACAAGTGTACTGTAAGTTTCAGTGTTGTAAACTCGGATACATTCAGGCTTTGATGTGTCGAAGTAAACTTTGTTCCTCAGTGTTTTGTTTTAAAGTTTAAACGCCGCAACACAGCGGCTACATTTTTAAGAATAATTTTTAAGGCTCCATCCACGTACTCAATTGTCATTAAACCTGTAAGGCAGTTTTCAGGTATTCATGTCTTCTATCAGTGAAAACGAGCACGTTTGTATTCCGCGGATCAGTCTTCTTCTACAGTGTGTACACTCGCTTGGGAGACGGTTCATTAAAACTTCAGAAAGCCGCAGTTCGGGAGTCTTACAGAAAAAAGATTAGTCGATAAAACTATGGATGTTTGCAAGCGCCTGCTTTTTAAGAGGGGGCTTCAAGGGTCGCATCGGGAGAACCCGGCGGCGGTGAGAACTGCGCTCGACTTGAGTCGACCATTGTCAAAAGTGACTGTGAGCACATCAGCACAGCTGCGATGCCATCACTAAAACGAAAGCACATAAAAGCAAGTGATTCATGCTACAGTGAACACGTCGTGTTCCCCATTTTAGAAAAAAAATAATATATTTTCTTAACGTGAGCACTGGCACTGAGAAGCTTCCCTGAGAACGTGTTGACACTGCTGATCATGTCGATGACACTTTCATTGTGTCCCTGCAGCTCGACATTCAGTCGGGTCTGTGAGGATTGCTAAATCCAGAAGGCACTGGTCATCCTCTAATTAGGCATATTCACCACGTTTAGACGACTTGAGAAACTGCTTTCAGGCAACAGCTGTCTGAACCTCGCCAGAAAAGTCCGCAGCCTCAGCAAACGGTTTTTTATTACGTCTCGATCCCTGAATGACTTGTTGTGTTTTGCCACGACGTGGCTCACACGATGCGATGATTGCCGCTTTCCCTCTTGTATTAGGCCTCGTGAAATCCGACTGCCGCTAGCTATTTTAATTTTTCCACTATTTCTTTTCCGTAGCTCACTGTTAGTGGGAAAGTCCACATCTTACGTTTTGTGTGCGGTTTCGAAATGTTGTTCTATATTTCCCTTTTTCGCTTAGGCGCTAGCAAGGCCGATTTCAATGCGAAAGTACAAAAAAATAATCATGCTCCCATTCCGGTAATGTTTCGGTCTCTTTGCTTCATCATTTTCGCTCAAACACTACAACTATCAAATATAGGCAATCAAACTCATCACACTGTTGGCGAATTTGTCGCGGCCAGTCCGTTTCGCTCCACTATGCACAGTAGCGAATGTGGGGCTCGTGCGGCAATAGCCAAGAGAAGGTTCTTGGGTAGCGCACACAACACTATTTACGGAGCTCCTGGAGCCTTTTTTTCCAGTGTCAGCCAGCACTCAGGGAAGAGACTTTTACAGCCCATTAGACAAGGGTTAAACACTCACAAGGGCAGTAAAATGTATGATATTACATGCACAGATCCGAATTAATTTTTAGGCGATCGAAAGAAGTAATTACCCAGTGGGCAAAAGA